TGATTAAAACCAACGTTATTATGGAGCGGCGACGTCATTTAAGCAGGGAAGAAATGCTCAGAGCCGTGGGAATGATAGAAGCTGGTTCCCGGCAACGTACTGTGGCTTTAGCTCTGAATACAAGTCAGAGTGTTATCAGTCGACTTTGAACACGATACCGAAGCACTGGTACCGTGGCTGAGCGCCATGGAGGACGGTATCGCTGCACCACACGGAGACAAGACCGATACATTCAAATCTTAACTCGAAGAGCTCCAACAATAACCGCCATGATGTTAGCCGTGAGGCTTCATCACTCTTCAGGGAACTTAATTAGCGACCAAACAGTCAGAAACCGCTTGCATGAAGTGAACCTTCATTCCCGAAGACCGCTACGGGTACCACCTATAGCAATGCACAATCGTAGGATTCGATATCAATGGGCTCTTGAACACAGAAATTGGGCAGAAGAACAATGGCGTTTCGTGTGCTTTTCTGATGAGTCTCGTTTTGGTATGAGACCGGATACAAGACGTATACGACACTGGAGAACCCCTGGACGCCAACAGCGATTAAAATCCTGCCAGGAAGTCCATCCTTATAGTGGTGGAACCATCATGGTATGGGCGGGTATTTGGATCGGCGGAAGAACTGAGTTGATTTGGATCAGAGGCAACCTCAACGCTCAAATTTATGCTGAGACGATTGTATCAGACGTCATCGTTCCTCTACAAGTGCAAATCGGTCCCTTATTTCAGTTAATGCATGATAATGCACGACCGCACACCGCAAGAGTTGTAAGACAGACTCTCGCCGCAGCTAACATCAATGTCCTGCCCTGGCCTGCTCAGTCGCCAGACTTGAACCCGATTGAGCATGCATGGGATTATGCTACAGAGAAGAGCTCTGCCGAATATGGAGGGTATCCAGTCGCAAGAAGACCTTTTTTTGTTGTTGCAACGAACATGGGCGGCCATTCCACAGCGTGATTTGGATGAACTCATTTTGAGTATGCCAAACCGATGTTCTTGTGTTGATAGTGTTCGCGGTAGAAATACGGATTATTAATTGTTTAAGTTACCCAATAAAATTTTAGAGAAAACTGTTATTTCAGTCTTTTTTTCGAACTTTTGTGTTAGTGGTTCAAATGTCAAAAATCCCTTTATTAGGAAAATGGCAAATTTCTTTATTAATGCAAAGGTGACTTGGTTTATCGTTACTGTGACAAACGAAAACACTTTATTTGATGAATCCTTAAAGAAAATTTTAATTAATATCAATCAGGAGAAAAGTTATTGCAAAAATATATGTTGATCCCTAGACACTTTTGATGTGTGTAGTAATGATATAAAAGTTATTACGTAATTTATTTATCATTGATTTAGACAAAGCGTCGTAAAACTTGTACGTCATACGCGATACGTCAAGAAACACTTCCATTAAGTAAGTTAAGTCGGGACTCTAAGGCCCATATTATAGAAAGATTCTCAGTGATTGATTTAGTCTTGAGCATAGTTAGAAAGGGATGTCGCTGTCTATATATAGCACATAGTGACATCCCTTTCTAACTGTACTCAAGTAAAGATCAACACTTAGTTGTCATTCTGTAATACGGGTCTTAAGAAACCTTTTTGAATTATAGACGTCGTCGGTCGGTTCTTCTCTTGATTTGCTAACCGAAAGCGTAGCTTTTAGACATTCATAAGTGATTGTTGTTACAATTTACTTATGAATGTCTAAAAGCTACGCTACCACAAGGTGCAGTTTTGTCAAATGCATTTATAGCTTACCGAACCTGTACATATATTGTTAGAATGGCTAAGTACAGAAAAAAATATGATATGGCCAGAAGTTGCAGAAGCGGCTATCGCGATGAAAAGGAACGTTATGAATCTAGTTTCAAAATTAAATAACAAGGTGCTGTTTTGGCTAATTATTGTTTACTCTGTTATTTCAATCAATATGCACTGACAAGGTTAAGCGTGGGAGATAAAAAAATATAAAAACGAAATAGTAGGAATTATTATTTTAAACGAACTTTAAAATAATAATTCGTACTAAAAAAAATATACAAAAAAAGTAACAGCTTAGGCTGTTGCCTAAACTGAATAAACTGTTTATGAATTTGATTTTGAATATAAAGTTCAAAATCGTATTTGAGTATTTATTTGTTGCCATTACAAACCGATTCACTGGTAAAAGCTTGTAATGAATGATACTCCTTAATTAATATCACATCGCAACACATTGTTGTATGTTAATCTAGTTTTCCCCATAGTGTCATCGACCTTTAGCCATGATGTTTGCATACGTTTTTGTCGTAGGTAATTTACCAGTTTCATTACGCTCGAGCAGAGAATTTTCAAATATTACACGATTCTTTAGCTCTTGTGACATACAAGTATTTATATAATATCACCTTTTATGTAGGTATAGTGCGATTCAAATAAGAATAGGAAAGCCGATGACCTCCATCTGTCAAATTTCGCTTGAAAAGTACGGTTTGCTAAAAGAAAGAAGAAAGAAAGAAAAAGTATTAATTGGCCAACACGCAAATACATTTGTAGAAAAAAAAACAATGAGCAAAAAAAAAACAATAAAATTAAACAATACAGAAGAGAAAGAAGAATGGCCAATCAGGACCCTGCCTCAGCTTAATGCTGTTATCGTGGGAACGAATATTCCCACCATAACAGCGCTGGTATTCTGGCAGGGCCTGTACAAGGATGCCAGAGGGATAAAACATTTAAATAATATAAAATTACCAAAAAGTATATAAAAAGGAAGTTCAGTGCAAAAATATATAAATATTAAAATACTTAAACTATGTAACATAAATAATTAAATTATATAAGCATAATATATTAATAAAGTTATAATGGTAATTAGGCCGAATATGCTACTCTCCTCGCCCCCCCTGCGAAAGCCGCATCCGGAGTGTAGCCCCGGAACGCAACCATGCCGGCCCGCCTTGACATTGACAGTGACACTGCACACTGACAATTTCTGAGTTAAAATTCTCCCTGAAGTGCCACGTAACACGTAAATAAACACATTGCCACGCACGATAGAACGCCATATTGCCACGTATATGACAATGTTTGTCATTTGAAAGACAAGAAACTAAAGACAGACCGTGTATAGATATTCGGTGTCCAATTATGTCCCACACCACACTGACGACAGGGCTAAATCTGTCACAGCCACAATTGTGCCGAAACTTACCCAACCCAAAGCTTTATATGACGTGATAAAACAGATGGTAAGTTACACAATTTTACTACTGTTGAGCTGAAGAATTAAGTAATACTTTTTAAGGCTCTTTTTAAACGTGCTTCTGGTTTTTAGATCGCGAAGTGGAGGCGGAAGATCGTTCCAGCACTTTGTGGCAGCGAACTTAAAAGATCCGTGAAAAGCTTTTGTGTGATGTGCAGGCGTTTTGAAAATTGGCTTGCAAAAAATCTTGGAACCCCTTTTTCAGCACTCAGCTAATTCTAGAATAAAAACCAAACATTTGTATACAAACAATAACAAATATTTATAATTAATATTGGTTGCTATTTGTTTCTGAGCTTTGGCTATGAATTATTGATAAGCTAAATTGTCAAACAAATGTCACTTTAAATAGCGTTCAGATACTCGATTTAAACTTTCGTTTTCATAAAGGATGGATGTAATGCAGTGATGAGCGGAATTGAAGAGCTAGATTCTGATTAATGTTTTTTCTCACACAGTCTTAATAAATAAATATTAGTAAATAATATTATTAAAAATGTGATGTTTTCTCACTTAATCTCAGTAAATAAGTTTTATTAAATAAAAACTTTATTTTGCTCACTCTACCTATTTGGTTTGATTTGACAACTATGACGTCACAATAAGGCGCCCAGTCGGTCCTATTCTTAGTTGAATCGCAGTATATACCCGTTTTTGTAGACATTGTCAAACGAGTCAAAACTATTTTAATTTATTGTAATAATTTTGGTATTATGTATTTGATAGTCTTACTAATTATTATAAAGGCGATATTTTATATGTTTGTAACTCAATCACGCAAAAACTACTGAACGGACTTGGATGAAAGGTACGCATATAGTTTACAACCTGGATTGAGACATAGGATACTTTTATCCCGAAAAAGGTTAGGATCCTAAAGGATTCTTTAAAATTTAAGTTAACGCGGACAAGGTTGCGTCGGCTGCTAAGCAGTAGGTACTATATAATTATACATTTTCTATGAAGGTGCGTCCATTGCGGCACGCGTGCATTTCTGCGGGCTAGGTACTACATATTTTGACTCAGCTCTGCGTGTTCTGGTCATTTTTTTAATTTTGCATCTATTTTCATAAAATTATTATTAGAGGCAAACGGGAGTGGGGGATATAAGTAAGTGAAAACAGTGCGCGCAAACATTTTCTTTCAGATGGAGCTAAAGAAGTTTCACTTCAGTTGTGTGGTCATAACATAAGCACACTCTTTTTCTTTTCTTATAGGTATGGAGGGGATTGTTACCATGTACCTCGTCTATTACTACATGGTAACAATCCCGGTAATAGTTATAATGTTAGTGACCATGAAAATTTCAAACAATATTACTTTTTCAATTGAAAATACTGATGAAGGTTTGTATGGGAACCCAATATTTTCACGAATATAATGTCGCTGGCACCCATATTTCGCTTTAGTTATTTCGCGTCATATCGATATCACGCTTGGAGCATATACCAAAGAAGATGGCATGGGCGGGCGAACCCCGCCGCCAAAGTACACGGCCAATGTGGCCATATGGCCATATGCGTTATTTAAAACTAGTTCACGCACGACTGCTACCATTATGGATCGTTCCGCAACGCGAGTCGAAGCTCCCACTAAAATGGAAAATTACTTTTTTATTTTTTTAAGCATTTAACTGCTAGATGTTTAAATCTAAAGAAAAGTTTTACTAGAATAAAAACTAGTTTTGTGGGTTGCCTACAATGCGAAGAGATGGCGCTGCTTTGCTTTGATCAGGGCCGTGGTAGCATAATTGGTCAGTGCATTCGCCCGGATTGCGAAGGCTGCGGGTTCGAGTCTCGTCCGCTGCCTGGTCCGCGTGGATTTTTTTCTAGCAAAAAGTTAGTATTCTGGTATAAAATTCAATTAAAAGAAAAGGCGGGATATGACTAATGAATGACAAAAATAATAGGTAAAAAATAATTGATTGATCTTTTGGCACTCTTATGTCCCTTTAATCCCTGATCTAGGAATTAGATCGTTTAGTTAGCAGATCATAAATTAAGAAAATAACAACATTTATTATATCGGATAGATCGGAGTAGGTAAGTAGTCAGTTATCCGGTCCTATTACAATTCTTCTTTCATTTCACCCTAGGGCCAAAAGGATTTATTAATACAATTTCGTCGTCCCAAATACCTAATTAAAATGATCGCGTAGTGTATCGTAGGGATCGTGGAAAGCAAGAAAATTACAAAATAAAGCCGAAGGAATATATTTATAAATGAAACAAAATCGTCAATCATTTTTAAATCTTCTTTAAGTTGTTTAAAGGTCCTTTTGTAATAAATATTTTACCTTTACCAATAGTTTACAATTCTTGTATCACACATTTACGGCAAAAATAAATTCGGCCCTTTTCACAAAAAGATAAGTTCGTTAACGCTTACTCTAAATTAATTTAATAATGAGGAACAAATCTATAAAACTACCTACCATAAATGTATATACTGATCACTGATGTATTCTATGAGATTGACAATATTCTTCGATCATATTAACGCGGCGATAAAATGATCTTTCAAGTGTTTCTTGATGATCTACGCAGTATTGTTTGTTTTATTTCTTATTCTATCCTTATACCGTAAAAGATTCAGTTCAGGCAACAAAAGGCACATTTGGCAAATAAATAAAGTTTCGGTTTATATATAACACAAGAGAATTTGTGCACCGATATAGTTATTTATACTATAAAAGTCATAAAAACTCAGTAGCAAAAGTCGACTGTAACGACTTGTACGAGCTTTATTAGTTCACCGATTTCATGTTACATTGCCGTTTACTAACTTAAATTAATCTACTTAACAGGAATTTATATATAAGGTACCATTCAAAGTAATTTAATTAAACACTCTTAAATTGTATGTTAGCGGACATCCTCCTCAACAAGGATGTTTAATTTATTGTTGGTTCTGAATAAATTTTGACTCCTTTTTTGCCTCAACGATCGTGGTCACTGAGTAGGGCTGGTTATGTAAACAATTAAATAAATAAATTCGAAGAACCGGTAGTATTTTTCAAAATATTCAATTTAAGGAAAAACACTTTTTTTAAAGGACGAAATATATTTTAGAGAAAAATAACAAATAGGAATAAAAATATGAGAAACCATTTTCCTTTTACATTTATATTTACCCATTATTGAAAAATAATTATCCGTTCTTGAATATATAATAGGTCCCGACTGGTGAAGTAGCTTTCTTACTTACTTAACAGAATTACTTTTACATTTTAATGTGGCAGATGTCACATTAAAATGTATATATGTAATATATTCCGTCCTTAAAAAAAGTATTTTTCCTTTTACATTTTAATGTGACATCTGCCACTTATTATTTTTAAGATGAGTTATAAAACCTCAACAGGGCTATATAAAACCTGTATTTATAAAGTAGGTAACTCTTTTAAATAGAATCGAGTGAAAAACGGACTATTTGGCAGCTCCACTTTACATCCGTTAAGATAGTTAACTAAGATGTGAAAACTTCAATCCAATCTTCGTCATCAGACGTTCAGAGGTCAAAGCACAAATTGTCATCATTAAATTTTGTATTGAAAAGCTAATCTGTTCTTAAATCCGATACGGTGCTGCTTAGTTTTCATAGAAACTTTGATGATGTGGGTTTACGGAGCTGTCGAAAATTCGTACTTAGACCTCAGAAGAGTGTTTCATTAACCACGTAGGAAAACGCCACGTTAGAACATCCTCGACTTGGATTGTACTCAAAAGTTGTTATAAACTTTATTTGCAGCTCCAAGGATTGTTTTACTTGACATCAGTTATACGAATTCCAACTTTATAGGTTAAATCATAAATAAACTTATCAACTACGACGATATCCTCATACTGGTATTCGTACTCGGCTTCCTCTTCTCTAAAGCTATTTGGTAACCATCCACGTCTTTCATCATTACATCTAACTTGACCCTGATGTACGGCTTATCACTATTTTGAAGGTCTGGGACTACTTTGAAATCTCTCACTATTGCCGCGACAGCTATTTTGATAGACATCAAGGCGTATTGATAACCTGGAAACAGAAAATAAACTATGAATATTCAATCGGATATATAAGGCATGCCGTACATCTCATAAAACAAATACATCAAAAAGATAGGACAAATATACAATATAAACATTTATAGAAAATGTCAAAGGACATCGACGAAATCGGCCCTAGCATGCCCAAAAGAATGTCCTTCACTATTATTTTTCTATTATTTTTTAATTAATTAGCAATTAATCATAGTAAACGGACAATCTGTTTAAAAAAATAAAAGTTCTGTTATGTATATATTATATAGATACTATTATTTGGTAAACAATCTTGGCACTCCTTTGTATTGAAAATACAGCATTAAAAATCAACTGATAACTGGTTTCAATAGGTTTCAGTCTATAATAACGATTTATTCTAATAGTTTATTGCCTTCGTTATTATTTTATTTTTAAATGGGTGATTTTGTTAAAAAGTTGTGCCAAGATTGTTTACCCTAATAAATGCAATAAAGGCGACCATAAGTATTTATCAACAAAATAATAGAACTAGGTACCTTAGTTAATAATACTTGTCACTAGTATTTATATTATATTTATAAAAAGATTATTTCTGAAATTATGTAAAGATAGTTTATACTCCCATTCCATATAATATCTACTAATGCTAGTACTGTTAAACTCGGCAAAAAGCTATATGAAATCGTGACTTTCTCAAACGAAATAATGAAAGTTCATTTTTTTTAAATTTTATTTGAGCTATATATATGAGGATAGAAATGTTCCCGGCTGCATCTGCAGGAGTAAACACTAATCAGTCCTCACTTAGCCCGTGTGGTGGATCTCGACCCAATCTATCTAAGTAGAGAAGGCCTGTGCCGCAGCAGTGTGGACATTAATAGGCTGATGATGTTGAGGTACGAAATATTTGACTTGCCTAGACAATTTCTGGGGCCCTGGCTGAATGGCATATAGCTGCACACATGTTGCGGCAGGAACCTCTCTGGCAGGAAGCGGTCAGGGTCGAACTTCTCGGCGTCCGGCCCCCAGTGCTTGGGGTCCCGGTGTGCTCCCCAAATGCACACCACAACGCCAGATCCCGCGGGCAACACACGTCCAGACGCTAGAAATTGATTATATAAATATCTTAGCTATAGCCCCTATGTAAGCACTGTAATGCTTGTTATATAGCAGGGGTGGCCAACCAGTCGATCGCGATCGACCTTCGATCGCGACTATTAGTTCAGTCAATCGTGGCAAGGCAAAAAATATAAATACGTAGCACAAACTACTGCGCACGTCATCTTCATCATCTCTTCTATAGTGATATTTATGCAAGGGCTACAAAATTTGCAGATATACGTTTCAAATGGACCACAATAACAAATTACTTTACGCTGACACTGGACATCTTTTTAAAACCAAAAATCATCCTCAGCTTCAGATTTCTGGGCATTGTCTTCAACGAGAAATATCTAAATTTCAAGAGATGTGTTGAACAACTGAATTCGATTCAACATATTTATGTAAATTAGCATTTTCCTACTTCCAAACAAAAAATAAACACTGTTCTCGCTTGACAGATTCTAATACGTTTGATTCTTTAAGGTTTGCAATTTCCAACAACAAACCTGATTTTGCTAATCTAGCGGAAAATTCTTAAACACAATGCTCACAGTAATATAAACAAGTAGTTACTAAGGCTCATGATTCAGTATTATGTTTGCCCTCTTAATAAAATATCAAAATACTATATAATTGTATACTGAAATGTGATGTTTCATTTAAGATTTCAAGAAGTATGTAATTGGTAGATCGCACATGGTTTCGACAGTAAGCAGTAGATCTAGGGTCTAATCAAGTTGGCCATCCCCTGTTATATAGAATATGAAGGTGAAACAATAGATTTGCAACGCAAACATATTTTTCTATGTTTTTGCTAAAATATATAAATAAACACTAAACACACATGACTCGGGTATAAATTCCAGTGATCATCATACAAACTTTGCCCCTACCGGGATTAGAATCCAGGGCCTCGGAGTAGGCAACACCTTGGAAATCGGTGTACAATTCTTTTTTACCACGGTGCCGGTGGTTGTTTAAAGATTGTTATAACACAACCGTTTCCTTTTCCTCTCAGCTGCTCTCATCCCGACTTTCGGCATCTGTTGATAATCCGTCAACGGACTTGATGCCGACTTTCGGCATCGCGCGACTCTACGTAATCAGTGGCAATTAAAATATTCATTCTTATTGCTATCACCTACATTCTTATATCAATTTGTAGAGGAAAGAACAGGCTAGCTATCTAGCCATTGATTAAGTCAACTGCCATATGAAATATTTATGCTGTTGTCTGTGGAAGTTCGTCGTTCGCCGTTTTTCGTATGAAAAAAAATATGCCGTGTATTCAGACTATTTAAAGTGTTTTTCAGTGGTTTTTTTTAAAAAAAACACCATCACTGGGCAAGTTAAGTACATTAAGTTACTCTATTTTGATGTTTCGTTTGCGGGTTTACGTGTTTTTTTTTATAATTTTTTTGTTACATCCCTCGTAAAAAAAAACAATAAAAAAAAGGGTTTGTGTCTTATGTTTTCATGGTGATAATTTCGATAATAATTGTAATGTTTTAATTTATAATTATTGAATAAATTATTCATGATTAATATTTCGAATACAGAGAATCTCTTGCGTTAGTATTTTTGAAGAAATAAAAAAAAACAAAAGCCGCGCAGTGTAACGGTCGTTCTAAATTCAAATATTCGAACGAAATATTTTTTCATATTATTTTCTTGTATGCGAACTAGTGATTAGTTTTTGTTTATTCTAAAGCAAATTTAATGTACATTTTGAAAAAAGAAACTGTTTATCAAAATTGTAAATACTTTTCGTTTTATCGACATAAAACTGAGATGACTGCTTTGTAGGCGATTTTAAAATGCCTTGTTGTAAGTTCTTAAAACTATAAAAAAACAAAGTACTATTCATGCCACACTTGTTTCTTAAGTGATGTTTACAATCTTAGCTAATCGTAAACCCATAAATCATGGCACTCAGGCCGCCCGTCTGCGCTTATCGCCGAGGCGAAACCCGACACTTTTTTTTTTGTAACGCGTCTTTGTTTACACAATTAGCACGTGGTTGTCAGAGCTATAGTGTAAAATTAAATTGTGCGATTATGGTATTTTATGTTTTTATTTGGTAAGTTATAATAGAATGTGCAAATAACCAAAAAACCTGGACATGAAATTTTAAAATTTTAAAGATATACTCCATTTTACCCATCTGAACGCCTTTTTTTTATCTTTCCCGAGTTTACCGTAACGTAATTAAAATAGATTATAGACATGATGCATTGTGTAGACACTGTTTTATAGTAAATTTTATGAAGAATCCAAATATATATAGTTTGTGTGGGGTATTCTTACGAAATAAAAGAGAAATCGGCAAAACAATGCAATCGTTCCCACCCAGCGGGGGGGGACGGATGACGTAAGCAGTTTGACGTTTTTACGACGCATGACAACGAGCACCTGAGGGGAGTGTTTATTTATATATTTTAGCAAAAACATAGAAAAATATGTTTGCGTTGCAAATCTATTGTTTCACCTTCATATTCTATATAACAGGGGATGGCCAACTTGATTAGACCTTAGATCTACTGCTTACTGTCGAAACCATGTGCGATCTACCAATTACATACTTCTTGAAATCTTAAATGAAACATCACATTTCAGTATACAATTATATAGTATTTTGATATTTTATTAAGAGGGCAAACATAATACTGAATCATGAGCCTTAGTAACTATTTGTTTATATTACTGTGAGCATTGTGTTTAAGAAAACGGTTGTGTTATAACAATCTTTAAACAACCACCGGCACCGTGGTAAAAAAGCATTGTACACCGATTTCCAAGGTGTTGCCTACTCCGAGGCCCTGGATTCTAATCCCGGTAGGGGCAAAGTTTGTATGATGATCACTGGAATTTATACCCGAGTCATGTGTGTTTAGTGTTTATTTATATATTTTAGCAAAAACATAGAAAAATATGTTTGCGTTGCAAATCTATTGTTTCACCTTCATATTCTATATAACAGGGGATGGCCAACTTGATTAGACCCTAGATCTACTGCTTACTGTCGAAACCATGTGCGATCTACCTGCTTCTTATTATTTATTCACTATTTTTCACATAATTGTATCATATAGTATTTATTTGTTTAACACACGTAAGTATATTGTGTAAATATGCAGCGTGAATGTGTATCAGGTGCTCTTGAACAGAATGATCCTCTCAGGATGTTGTGGCACAGGTTCACTAGCATTTGGTAATAAGGGCTCTGCTCTTTGGTAACATCGATGGCATATTAGATAGCCGAAATAGTTTAATTAAAGGAAAAACAATCGCAAATAAACACACACAACAGGTAATCCGAAACGAGAATGCACTTTCCGGCATATTATAGGTACTACTCTTTGGAATGCACGAATGCCACAGATTACTACGAATGCAAACTGCCTTCACCGCAACCACAGAGTATCGAGTTTATACCGGCCCTTCACTTGACAACAGTTTGTCCTTGTCATGCTTAATAAGAATAAAAAGGACAGACTGATGTCATGTTTTTAAATAGCAAATACGAATAGCCAAGGTAAGTGTCGGCATTAGGAAGAAAGTGTTTTTTGTTTGCAGCGCTGTCATAGATTATACACATAAAATGGTTTTTATTGTCTCAGATTATTTATTAACTTTTTAATTTAGCTTACTTAACTGGAAGTGTCCGTCAAAACCTAAATACTGATAATTATCGCAATAAATATACTAAGAATTATTATAAATGCCAAATTGGTGTTGTTTCTTAGGCCAATTTTAACATTGTCCTTTAATGGCCGTTAAGTGTCATTTTGTCTTACCCCATTGGCATGACACAATTATCTTAAAGTCATTAAACAAAAGTTTATATAGGGATCAAATATGTAGGACTCTTGCTGTGATATAAAGTTTTGTATTTCGTCTAGTGATAATTAATAAATTAAATTGTTCTACTACACTATCGCTTTCATGTTCCTATCACCTTTATGCTGATGACCTTCGGATATACACCCAGGCTCCGTTATCTAACCTCTCTAGTGCTGTTTCGGTAACCAACGTGAATTTGTCTCTTACAAATAACCTTAAACCCTGCATAAACTCAATCAATAATTATTTCAGTTTCGGGATTGATAGTCCTTATTTTATTTCCAGGATCGAATTTGATCATTTGCCTCCCATTGATTTAAACCGCACTACTGTTCAGAAACCGTCAGAAACTTAGTTGTTGTGTTTGACCAGAGTTTCTCCTGGAAATGGCAGGTGGAGGCGGTCAGGAAAAAGGTGTTTGCTGCGTATGGTTTTTTCCCTTGGTAACATTTTGCCGATCAGTACCAAAATCAACTTGGCAAACTCAATTTTGTTGTCCATCATCGACTAAGCTGAAGTCTGCTAAATCGATCTGTTCGAGAAACTCCTCAATAAAATAAGAACGACTGCAGAATGATTGCATCAAGTTTATTTATAATCTCCGAAAATTTGACCACCTGTCTTACTCCGTAGTAAACTCAGTTGGTTCCCTATTCCCTGGCGCATATAAAATTACTGCGGCGCTAATTTTAAAATCACGAATGTTTGGTAGGTATATTATATTTTATCATACATGTGTTCTGTCTTAAAGATGAGTACACTGAACATTATACACTCTGGGTTATATTGTAAATTGTACCAAGTTTAATGATACTCCTATTAGTGCACTCGTTTAAGAATAGAAGTACAGTGGTGTCGATTCTGGCAAATAACAGCCAATTAAACGATAACTACCACAATTATCGTTTACCTACAGGTTAGACCTAGAGCTATGGTGACCATGCAGACGCAGGGCAGAGCGAGTGAAACCAGCGGAACATCAACTTCCACGCAAATAAAACAAAGATACCATTTAAAAATGATACGGGGTTTTACTGTTGCGTTTTTATATTTTGCGTGAATTATATTTTTTTATGTAATGAAGAATTTAGGAAGTTAAGATTATTTTTATTGTTTTCATTAGCTGCTTTCTTGTTCCTAAAGCGATCAATAACTTTGTAACCGAACAAAAAATCATTGATAAAGTACATAATCTAACACTTACGTAATGTGACATTCTCGTCCACCCTTCTGATGATGAAGGGCACGGGCGGAAAAAGCCTCAGTGTCTCCTTCACGACCCTCTCGAGGTACTTCAGTTGATGTAAATCTTCTTTCACTAATTGACGACCAGAATCTCCGAATATGTCATAAATCCTGAAAATGTGTAAGTTTTAGTACTACTGATGACTTTAATAATAATTTATCTATGCACGAACTCTTCATAAAATCAGATTGACCTTTATAGGGTTACTAAACTCCTAAACTCCTTCTCATTCTAGCTTTATTTAACGTTTTCAGTGATCACATAATTTGTATTTAGGTATTCTTTACTACCCGTACTACTTATTCTCGAAAACCAAGTATGACAATGACGGAGCACTGTGATACAATTTTATTAATGAAATTATATTGAGTTCAGCCTTCTGCACTGATGCAGCATCGAAAGTTTGACAGCCGCAAGCAGGAATAGCTACATTGAACAGTTTTCTTTTGTCTGTAGTATCTACTCGACAAATGTAAATAAAAACATCGATTTTGCGTTTCCCCATGGCAGAATAATGAACACGTTGGATAATCGTCACCGAAACGTCAGCAAATGATATAGTCACACATATAACAGGTTTGCTTTAATTTGCATGTACATGATATACACTAACCTCAAATTCAAATTTGACCTTAGTAAGTTGAACTGAGGTCTGAGGAGAGGAGCTCGTTGGTGCAAGTGGTTAGCACGTTTGGCTGCGATCGTTGAAGTTAAGCAACTTTCGCAGTGGTCGGTCATTGGATGGGTGACCAAAAATTTACTATCTCGAGCTCCTCCGTGCTTCGGAAGGTACGTTAAGCCGTTGGTCCCGGCTGCATCTGCAGTCGTTAGCACCCGCCAATCCGCACTGGGCCCGCGTGGTGGGTCATGGCCCAATCTCCCTATTCCATCCATAGGGAAGGCCTGTGCCCCAGCAGTGGGGACATTAATAGGCTGATGATGATGATGATGAAGTTGAACTGCTAATAAATATTTAAGGTACTATTCCGTGCATCGCGATCGATCGCGGCCGCGCGCGGCTTACGACTGTCGTCGGTCGCTCGCGACTATAGTCAGAGTATGAAAATTTATGGCACCGTTTCCGAAGCCCGCAACAGACGTTTCTCAAAATTAGTCGGTGTTATTAGTCAGATCCCTCTAGAAGTGTGTCTACCAAAGTCAAAATCATGGTCGAGGTGCGAGGCGCGCGCGGCCGCCATCGATCGCGATGCACGGAATAGTACCTTTACAATATATATGCTATGGTACAGCTAGAACATTACTATTTATGTGTTTATATTAAAATTTGCCGGATTTTGGTCAGGATCGATCCGGCAATGACATTGAAAATGTATTACTCTATAGAACGAGAATTTTCGCTACCGATATGTTTTAATTTATTGCTTCCTTCATGTAAGTCATATTACTACTGCGATATTCAGATGATTTGACTTTCGGATATTGTAAATGTGGGGGTAATAGAAGAAATTCTATATTTTTTTATACTATAATTTTTGCATTCTTTTATATGTATAACTTGCTCGTGTCTATATATTTATTTTCATTGAATACTCAGCCTCATGCGTCCCCGAGGTGGCCTCGTGCTGCCAGCGTGGGAGATGCATGCATGGGCTTAGATGTGAAGAGAAAGAGTAGAGGAAAAATTTAGGTACCTAATAGGTTTCATAACTTACTCTTCATAAACCCGCGTTTGGACTTCTGGATATGTCGCCAGCATCTTCAAGGTGTTTCCCATGGCAACCGCAGAGGTATCCGTTCCAGCGATAGTCAAGGTCAACACTTCCTCCCTCAATTCTAGATTAGAGTAACCACCCTCTTTGCCCGAAAGATCAATCAGATGATCTAGAAAACTCTTGGTTTTATAACTATCTAGATCTGAAATAAACGGAGTTTTCTATCATTAACACCCTACCTCCACATAATGTAAATTGTAAGGTATTTTATTATTATTGGAACATTAATTAACACACAAATGAGTTATTAGGTATATCAAACGTTAAGCTCATAGAGAATGCTGATTTCTTTAGCATTTGTTTGGCTGTCAGGTTGCTGTCTGCCCTCTTTGTTTGATAAATAGTAAAATTGACTATAGTTAAAGATGAACTATAACTATAGTCAAATTTAACTTTTAAAAAACTACAGGAAAAATAACCACTTGTTTATATTTTACACATTTAATATGTATGTGACGTGACATTATAGTAGTTAAATTTATCGATGTCTCAAACAACGCGGATCTATCCATAAAAACTGTTGTTTAATGTAAGATTGTAAAATTTCCAGATCAAATTGTTGTTGGGTATTTACTGAAAAAATAAAAAATAAATTTACCATATTCAGCATCCGCTTCAGTTTTTTCCTTGGATTCCTTCTGTATTTCTTCGCGTTTTTTTACTATAACCTTAAATAAAAACTACTGTTATGTTCTAAAAGTTAAAGATATTATGATGGTGGAATAATAAGATATGAGCAACATGATTACAAATTTTAATTTTAATTTCAAAGTCAAAGCAGAGAAATGTAAGGCTAAAAGTAAAAACCTTCCCCTCACTAATTAGTTACCCAAAGCTTTTTTTAAATTAGGTGTTGTATCCATTTTTTATTTAATATTAGCCTTTATTCATTTTTTGTATGTAACATTTAAATTACCTCATCAGTGAAATCGTGCAGTTGCTTAAGACAAGCCTTGTGCTCCGTATATTGCGGGAAGAGCATGTACATCCAATCTGGCTGAAGCCACAGGTGGAATATTCTTTCGCACGCCAAATTCAGGATTCGGTTCAGCGACACAAGGAATGGACTGTGAGTATTATTCTGCGCGTTTATTTTTACACCCATCGCCGTTTCTGTATATGAATGAAGTCTTTAAGTGAATAAAGTGCATTTTCAAAATATCTGGAACTAACTTACTTACTAGTTAATGCTCGTGACTCGTATTATCATCTTGAGGCGAGATAAATATGCAACTTTTTTGCAGAAGCATCATCATCAGCCTTTTATTGTACCCACGTTGGGGTACATACCTTCTCTATGGATGGAGTTGTGGACTAAATTAAAACAAAAAGGGAAGATACGGCACTCGTGGCTCAGAAGAGATTTGCCTAAATTATGGTGCATGACCACAATTTGCTTTAGTCACAATTGGACATTCAAACACGCTGCATGTGCACTCAATATATCAATATTGCGTATATTCTATGATTTAAGGATAAAATAATGCCTTCGATGCCTTTATAAAGAACACAAATAACAAATGCCTCGGCAACACTTTTCATTCGTGAAACTGTAAAAACATTTTTTCTTTAAAAGCACGGTTTGTCGTGAATGTCATTTACGTAAAAGCGATTTTGTTATCAAGAAAAGGACAACAATACAGCTCAGCCGTACGGACTCAGAAGCGGACTCGCCATTTCGCTCGCGCTGCGTTGAAGCGTACAGTTCTGTCTCGCTCGCTCGATTGAATGTTTATACATAGACGTGTGAGAGTGTAAGAGTTGCTTATGTAGTTGAGTTGGATCATATTTTATTTGATGCTAGTATGAGCGTACCGTATCTTCCCTTTTTGTTTTAATCTAAAAATTGGCCTTGCATGACCTTACCCTTCCAAAGCACGGAGGATTTCAAGATAATTAATTTATGGCTTAACGTCCCTTCCAAAGCACGGAGGATTTCAAGATAATTAATTTATGGCCATCTATCCGATGACCAGCCATCCAGCCGAAAGATACTTAACTTTCACGATCACTAGTCGAACGCGTTAGACGGGCCGTACACGTTACAACGGTCGCACAAGGCCGTCGCACGGATTTCAGTCGTATGTGACCAGTTCGATCGTGAATGGATTAGTCTTAAAGCGGACTGAACAACCAAGGTCATGCCGCCGGTCCATTAAATTACTTGCCGTGGTTCGATGGACGGTCTGTGTGACTGTTTCAACGTCAAAAGCCCGTTTTAAGCACCTGCGCCATCGAGCTTCTCCTACAGTAAATTGGTCGATCAATTTTTATGACAGGTCAATGACTGAGTACTTAAGTACGGCTCCAACCCAGCAGCTGCAGCACCAAGGGCGGATCCAGAGGGGGGGTCATGGGGGTCATGACCCCCCCCGGGCTGGGTCCATCTGTACCCACTTCACAATCTGTGCTTCATAATCTGTACCCACTGTGATTTGACCACGACTATATGACCCCCCCCTGGCGCCAAAGTTGGATCCGCCCTTGTGCAGCACTGAGAGTTATGTCAAATATCACACCGCTCCACATCTACATCAAACAGGAAATGGCTAAGACAGCGTTGAGACTACAAAAGTTTGTACTGGTAAGGTTCGAAAGACATCACGACATCTCAACGGTATACCGACGAAATGCGTTACAAAAGACATCACGACATATCAACGGTATACCGAAGAAATGCGTTGACAAAATCAAACCTGCCTTTATATTTGACAAAAAGTACAGAATACATCTACTGGATGACAACGATCAAAAGGTAACACACAAGGCCCTCATGATCTACTCCGACGGCTCTAAAACCTCATCGGGCACGGGCGCAGGTATTTTCTCTAAGGACCTCAATATACATATAGATTTTCCCTTAAGCCCTTGAGTATATGGGAATCATACTGACGGCAAGAGCGATCCTCTCCAGAAAGGTAACAGTGCAAGAAATTAGGATCCTGTCCGATAGCAAATAAGTCTTACAAGCTCTAGATGACTCTTTAGTTAAATCGAACCACCTACAAGAATGTCACCAAACCTTAAACACGGTAGGGTTACGCAATTCTATTACTATCCAATGGATTAAGGGACCCACTGGATCACGCGGGACCGACGCTGCAGATCATCCCGGTGCCGGTAAGCTGGTTTGTCAGTAAAACCCCCGAGCACACAGCCGCACTACACCAGCAACACTAGCTTAATCTGGAGACGTGCAGGCAGACCAAGCTCGCTTTGCTACGGGTTACATTGCCCTCTCCAAGTCTTTTGTACAGCTAAGCAGACCTACATTGCGCATGGCAACAGCTATTACCGGACATGCCTATTGTAATAGACATGTTTTTAACATCGGCGTCACGGACAGCCCCCTATTCAGAGGATGCATGAAGGCAGAAGAAACAGCCACTCACGTTTTGCTGGAATGCAACGGAGTGGCCGAATACCGGGCAAAATACCACGGTTCACCGGGAAACCTCTAAGAGGCAATGTGAAGGCCCTGGGGGCGTGCGAGAAGGAGCTGGGCTAGCTGGAATGACTCCGGCAGCACAGGTAATGATGCCGGAGTCATTCCAGCCCTCACGCAAAACAGGCACCATAAGGACTTCGAATTGCGGAAACGCCTGTTGCAAGAGGAAGAAGAGGAAAGATGACAGGTCAATATGTTCTTCGCGAGCAGTATTATAAGTTCTTTTTAAACTTTCACAGAAACTATACTTTATGTTAAAGAAATCGTCAAAAAGATAGTAAAAAATACTCACGAGAAACGGAGTCTAATGTGTAAGTGCTCAAAAAAGGCCATACGCTGAATTTGCCCTTTTCAACTTGGTTACTAAGCTTTTTCACAAGTGTTTCACTCTGCTGAGTAAATATTTTCACAAAGGATTCCACAATTTTCGGACTGAACGCTGGCACCAGGATTTTCCTGCGTCTTCTCCAAATTTTCACTGTGAAAGTTAAGTTTAGTTAGTTAGTTATTTAATTATATAAATTTTTATTTTACAGCAATAGTCGTGCATAATTTTTTTACAATGCTTTTATGCCAGTATAATTTTGTTTCTGCTTTTTGACTCCTGTATAATTTGCTTTTATTGTTTATACGCCCTTTGAGCCCCGCGGTATCGATATTATTACATATCTGGTTAAATTCCTTTTTCTGAGTTGTACAAAAGAACATCAATTTAATACATAATAGTTTTACCATTGAATGAGAAATCATTAATAATAATAGGGATGCAGACTAACTTTTTTTCTACGTCTAGTAGATTGATTATCAAAAAATATTGGACACGTATTTTACCAGGATGCATTGATTTAAATTGTCGCATGACGTCGCGTCTAGGTACAATTTTTACTTAGAGGTGACGTCACGAGCCCCCACTCCCAATAATCTTATCTTTGTCATTTTTTGGTTGATTGACAAAAGAAAAAATACATGTCCATTAGTTTTTGAAAATGTAACTGAAATAGAATTTCATTTACTCTACCCCATCATTACCTCAATTCTTGTATTCCCAAATAAGCTGCACTTTCCCAGTTAACTCACTCCTCTACGTATACGACCTCCGTGGCCGAGTGGTTTGTACGCCGGGTTTCATGGTGTCGCCGACTCGAGAGGTCCCGGATTCAAATCCCGGTGGGGGCATTTGTTATGTGTGATGAATACGAGCATTTGTACTCCAGTCATGGATGTTTAATATGTATTTCTATAAAAATATATTTATATATGTACAGTATATTGTATTCTATCCGTTACCTTAGTATCCCAAAACACAAGTCTTATAGTGCTTACTTTGGGGCTAGGCTAATTGGTGGGAGTGTTGGAAATATTTATTTATTTATTATATTTACAATAAGGATTGCCTATATTGTAATAACCCAAAAACCTCAAGTCGTATTAAATTGCAATACTAATTTCTGTCGGTCAAGGCAAGAGGTATTACGAAAGTAGCTTATTGAGTCCAAAGATCACAGAAAGTATGATTTCATTTAATATCATTATGATATATAAATATGTGTGTACTTAGTGTCAATACAGATCTGATTTCAAGTTAACAAACAATCTTAACAATTTAATGTATTTCGAAAGGTTAACTGCAATATGATTCTGGGCGTAATGTTTTATGTTAATGGTCAGCACAGACTTTTGTCCACAAACTTTTTGTCCGCCAAAATAGATCATTGACGACTGCATTTAGTAACGCACACGACGGATTAATTGTACCGCGTTCATAAAGTCCCCCAAATAACCGAGGACGCCAAGAGATCGAACTGAAGAGGTGTGATTTATATTCCGATTACACATAATAATATGTTGTCGTTTAAAGTATGTAGTTATTTTCACTATTTTTGTACATTATATAGAACTTAAAGAAACACTTTTAATTTATCATATTTTTATTTAAAGCATTGAACTGCTAGATGTTTTACTTTAAATTTACTTTTTATCAAACCACATAGAGCTATGACTATAGTGGACACGTGTGGAGTTCTGTGATTGGCGTTTGGCGAGAACTCATTCCGTACTGCTACGCAACAGAAACCATTGTATCAGTGTACGCACTTCTATGACCTCTTGGTGTATTCATATCATGTTTCTTGTACTAATTAAGCCAGGTATATACCTAAATAAACTATTGGTCAGTAAGATTAGGTAAATTTAAGTTGGATTCTGCATCATTTGTACAGAATCTTAATACTCAATGTTCAGCGCAATTAAATAGTCAGAATAACTTACCAGGGGCGAATATGCCACCGTTGCCAATGACGGTTCTCATGAATCTGTGCAGGTTGTCTTTCTCCATGCATGTCTTCAGCACTTTTTCATTGTCCACGGGATCCAAAAGCACTGTCAACAATGAAATCATAATACCTCAATCGATCAATCATAATGGAGAATTGTGCTACAGAAGAGGAATATTCGATAAATGTTAAAGAATCGTTAAGAGATAAGTTTAAATAATTTGGAATAATAACGGTCGTATCACAATACATAATAAACGAAAATTTATTACCTACTTGTAAGAAAAAATATTAATTTGTTTCTTAAAAACAGTGATGTTCACCCACTTAATACAAGAAACAAAAATAAACTTACTTTACCTGCTACTAGGCTTCACAAAATCAAAAATAATTCATTTAAAGGCCTTTGTGTTCGCTTACACAATAAAGGTACAAGCAATATCCAAGAGTTAACCATAAATAACTTTCAAGATAGTATAAAAAAAGCACTAAAAAAGCTTATTACAAAGTGTCTGATTATATTACAGACAAAAATGCTTGGGTTTGAACTGTTCCAATCATTCCAACAGGTATTCTATATTAAATAAATCATAATTGTATTGACGTTGTAACAACATAATGATTTGTAAATGTTGTTTCATTAGACTTTTAATGTTATGGAGTGTTTTTTTCGCTCGCTTTTCTCCGCAGCTAAAAAATATGTCCATAACGAGTGGTGGTGGTGGGTAGTGGTAGGGAAAAAAAATTTGGACGATTCAAAAGAGTTTTACTAAACATCCAATTTACGTTCCGATTCATGTTCTGATTCATCCATCCATTAACCATTAGTTACAATTTTGACAAACGGAGATAATTACCGCGCTTTTCATCACATTAGTAAAGAAACGATAATGCGTACTAACATAATATTATTTTTTCAGTCCGTCACAGTCACAGTCTAGGAGATATAATGAATTATAGTATCTCTATCATCAACAGAAAATAAAAATACTTACAGAAATACAATATGTGACTGAGCCATCCTCTGATCATACCACCATTTTCCATGGCTGCGTAGCTGTACGATTTCAGCTCATCCATTATATCTGAAATTAAAAATAATAATGACTCTCATAGCCTGCACAGACGAGGGGCTTTCGTCCGGGGACTTTTTTGTCCGCCAAAATAGATCGCTTACGACGACATCGGGTAACGCACAAGAGGGATTATAAGTTCCGAGTACAAAAAGTCCGAACAACCGAAGACATCGGAGGTCGGACAGAACGGCAATACACGAGTGTCCCCTAAAAAATTTAAATCATGTGACTAAACGCAGCAACGCACGCAACAAACTTTAGTACGCGTTGCGCGCTCGATCCGACTTATTTACTTTATTCATTTATTTTATTTACTTTATTCAGAAAAAAAATAAAGAAATGGACCCAGTATTCTCTTTAAAACGTCTTTTCTTTTTCTTTAACTTTATATCAATTACAACACAACGTAATATGAGAATATTTATTTCCATAGCGGGCACTTCTCTAAATTTTCGGACAAAAAATGAAATTTTAGCAAATCGTGTGCATTGAGTCCGTGACAAGGCCCCGGCGGACATTTTTTATTAGATTAAGAGACTTTTGTCCTTCGCTGACAAAAATCCCTCGTCAGCGTAGGCCATTAACTTCTCGATGGTAGAATTAACACACATATCCCACACGCCCACCGAGGGTTCCTTACAAATTTGTAAGTACATGTATTGCACTAACAAGTTCATACCTACTTAAAAATCTATTTAAGCTTGTGCTAATAAAGCCCATGACTCAGTAATCTTACTGCAAAATTTAGAGGCCCGTTCCTGGAGGCTTCAAGTTATGTAATTTTTGTGATCGTTTGCTACATTTAATACTAAAATTAGAATAAAATAATATATAGATCATTCAAATCATCTCCTGTATGCAGACGATAAAAAAGTTTTTCTTTCCATTAGATCTATAAATGACTGCTTTCGCTTACAGGCAGAACTAATTAGTTTAAACCAGTATTACAGTAAATATATCTGAACGTCAAATAATTAGCTATACGCGTAGTAAAAAACCAATCTTGCATAACTACTAATTCGAAAACAGTTTGATTAATAGGGCATATGAAACGCGTGATCTAGATGTTATACTGGACAGTAAAATGTCATTTTCGAGCCATATTGACGACATCGTGAATAAGGCTCTTTGCAACTTAGGATTTGTTCTTCGAATATGTAAACTATTTAGATCAATTACAGTTTTTAAAATAGTGTATTACGCCTACGTCAGGAGTACTTTATAATATGCAAGCCCTATATGGTCTCCATTTTATTCTAAATATAAAAATAGAATTGAAAGTATTTAAAGACTATTTATCAAGCGCTTAAACTATATCAACAGAACATATTCTAATAACAGTTACATACAATATTGCCATGCATATAAGTTACTCAGGCTAGAAGAGCGTCGCCATGTATTAGATATGGGTTTCCTGTTTGTTTTGGTCCGTGGGCAAATTGACTGTCCTGAACTTTTGGAAAAGTTGGCACTTCGAGTGCCATCTCGTCGCACCAGGCACACTTCTCTTTTCCACACTCCCTCTCACTCCACTAATTATGCTCAAAATGCGCCACTCACACGTATATCCAATAACTATAATAAACATTTTAGTACTGCTGATCCTTTTATAGGTACAAAACGTACTTTTAAGCAATCCATTGTAAAGCTTCTAACTAATGAATGACCGGGGAAAGAGCATAGCATTGATTAAGCATATTTGGCTAAATAATAAGACACGTATGGGGATAGTATGTATATTTTATTGCTTCGTTATATGATATACAATGTATTCATGTTGTCTTATAAACGTGTCGTGTGATATCTTAATTAATTAACATATAGACAGAAAAAGAAACTATTGTTGCAAATATCTTTGAATGAACTATATAGATAGACACAAAAATGTTACGCAAGTGAATATGTTACCAGGAAAACTGTTATTGGCATTAGTTTAAGAAAATATTATAAATATAACTAGAAATAAGACAATGCTGTTGTTTTCCTCAAATAAATAAATAAATTTTGGCAGTCACTTAACCTGAGCAACCGAGCTTAACTTTATCTTTTGTAATACAACAAGAAATATAATAAATATAGACTAATATTCTTTTTCATCTAAATCGTTACCGTTCGTATAGTACCTGAAAGACGTGAGATCATAATTTTTACGTATCAATTTTACTAGTAAAACTCTTTGAGTGATAATTAGAAAAACAGACAGACAGTTCCTGCACTATGTACTACACATTCAGGTATGACCGTATGACAATAACACTTGCCGCAATCCGGTTTTTCTCTGGCCTATAATGATAAATTGCGTCATTTATATTTGAGAAAATCTGATTATAGCGCGTTTAACGACTTGGAAAAATATAACACCGTAACAACGAAGCGCCTTCATCTTGTCAACAAAAGATTAAAGGAACAAACGTCGGAGTGTGAACCGTCACATACGAACGATCCATTATCACGTCCCATAGTCGCACACCACAACGCTGGCCGCTACATATGACATTGGTTCGGCCCATTATTCATCATAGTTTATGTTTATACAAACTTGAACGTTTATATTGCGTGACATGAATTACTTATGAACAAAGTTTTTAAGGAAGCAAGTCTATCTGTAGTCTGTAGTTGTGAAAACCATAAACCGCCAATTGTTGACTCCGAGCAGTAAGACAAAACTGATTTGCAAATTTTGATAATGGCAACTTGTCGACCAACATCCGGATTCGTATATCTGCTTTAGCAGGATTAATAAATAAATAAACCAATTCTAATATATATTTATATTTATGCTATAGTACCTCGCCCTTGCGTCGCTTCCTTTCCTTTAGTTAGTGTATCAATAGTAGTTTTTATTTTAAAAGTACTTTTATGTGACTGGGTAAAGAGAATACCCCATAAGCAGTTAAAATGGCTCAAATAAATAAAATAATTTTCGAATGCACTGACCATTATGCTACCATGGCCCTATTAGCCGCGTCGAAATTTTCCTAGCCTTAAGCTGCAAGGCAGCGCCATCTCTTCGCATTTTAGGTAACCCACAATGTCAAATGAATACTTTTTCAAGTATTAAACATTTGAAAGAAGAAATAGCAATTATAGTTATGATTTTATTTATTTTTTAAGTATTTAACTGCTAGATGTTTAAATCTAAAGAAAAGTTTACTAGAAAAAAAAAGATAGCGAAGGATGCGGGTTCGAGTTCCTTCCGCTGCCTGGTCCATGTGGATGTTTTTCTAGTAAACTTTTCTTTAAATACCCTATTGTTAGTGACGTTATGTTAACACAACATTTTAGAAAATTATATTATTATTATTAATAGGGTTCCTGTTTATGTGTATCTATTAGTCACTCCTTACATTAAATATAACTTTAAAAGCGTGCTTGCTGCTGTAATATAACTTATCCTGCAAAGCGCAACTAAATATTTAAACCTGTCGATTTAGGTTCAGTTTCTAAGTAGAGAAATGGATATTTTTTTTTATATTAAAAAAAGTGTCGGTCTTTTGTCATAAAAATTCCTCAATATCGAAGGTGAGTGAGTTTTTTATATTGTAGCGTACTAAAATATTTCACATAACAACAAGACTACGAAGATACAGTAATGGTTTTCTGCTTTACGAATGTCGATATTATTGACTCAATTATTATTGATAAGATGTATTATTTATATTAAAATTGCACGTTTTAACTTGAAAAATTGTTAATAATAAAATATTTAAACCAATTTCTAAAATAAGGAGAGAATTTTCTTTTAAAGTACTTCTCCATATAAAAAAAGGAATTTGCTATGATGATATTGATGTTTTTAATCAATACTGTATATTTTATTTGCTTCCTACGTGTGCATTAGTGATAAAGTATCAAATTACTTAGTTCAATAATTATTAAAATGTTTATTTACCATATTATCGAATAGTATAAAGAGTTGTTGTTTTTTAAACTGACTTTTTATAAGATAATAAGTACTTGTTAAACTTACCCTCTGTGCTTCCCATCAACTTGTGCGCAATTCCGATAACGGGCATCTCTTTGGTCGGGGGTGGTATCTTGGAAGCTAGTTTGTACATGTGCTGCCTTCTGTATCGGAACTTAACTATCCAGAGTGCCAAGGCAAAACATGCCAAGATGAGAATCATTGTGAATTTGAAATAAAAAATAAACAGTGCCCACAATCCCCGGAGTGTCAAAAAATGTCTATTCCTAAAACGTTTTGATGTGACGGTAATCTTTCTGACCGCACTGTAGTTAGCTTTAACCGTGTTTTGGCGGCTGTGGTTAACGCGAATGTCGCCTGGTAAACGGAAGGCTTGCGTTATATATTTCGTTAGTGGACGGTGCGGATTGTAGCGGCCGATGTACGTTCAAGTTCGCAGCAAGGCTGTGGCGGACGCGCAGAGCGTCTTTTGTTTGGGGCGCTTCTATCTTGCGACCACGGAGCACATAAAGGGTGCGAAAAGTAAAAAAATAGCAATAAATCGCTTATACGCTTTTGGTAAAAAGTTTGTGGACTAAAATCGACAGTCACATTTCGTTTCGTAGTAAAATACTATCACTTTTAGATTTACTTCGGATACAAAGAAAATATAATAGTTAAAAAAACTAAAAACACGCTTTTACTTACTGCACTAAAAAGTCAATAATAAACAAAATATACTCTCTGTTTACTTCATTAGGGCTTTAGAGTGTTGAAACGAAAAATTCTCCCCGAGAGGGTCCCGGCTCAGCCGGGGAATCCCTCCCCAAGGGCAACCTTGGGCTGGCGCACGTATGCGGGGGCGCCGACAATTGCCCAAAGGTCTAGTTCAAAACGCAGCAGGGAGCTCGAAGATGCTCCCCGAGGAGGGCGATGGGCCGGAATCGGCCGGTAGGGGGCGGGATGAGCCCGCCAGGAAAAGAACGAAGAAGAGGGCCGGCACCCCTGCGCCGTCGCCGCCGTAACGTTTTAACAATCAGAAACTAATTTTCAATTCGCATGTCAGTATTCTAATGAATTTGCCTACAATATCTTAGTAAGCAGAAACTGTTGGCCCTTCAGATAGGGTTAAGCAGAACGGTGAAAAGGGTGTTAAATGAAGACTTAGGGCTTCATATCGAAGAAAAACAGGACATAGTTTGAATGCTCCTCTAATGGACCTGAAACTAAAGAGATGCTGCGCTTTGTTGAATCTATACGGGAAAAAAATATCGGTAAATTATTTTTTCAGATGAAAAAATTTTTACCGTAGAAGAGAGCTACAACAAACAAAATGATAAGGTGTACGCACACAGTAGTGAAGAAGCGAGCAGCCGTATTCTGCGTGTCCAATGAGGTCATTTTCCATCCTCGCTCATGGTATGGTTGGGAGTTTCTTATTGGGGCTTAACAGAGGTACATTTATGTGAGAAAGGTGTAAAAACGAATGCAGTTGTGTATCCAAATACAGTCCTGACGAACCTTGTGGAACCTGTTTCCCATACCATGGTCAATAACAGGCACTGGGTATTCCAACAAGATTCGGAGCCAGCTCATAGAGCGAAGAGCACACAAGACTGGCTTTCGCCGCGTGAATTCGACTTCATCCGGCACGAAGACTGGCCCTCCTCCAGTCCAGATTTGAGTCCGTTAGATTACAAGATATGCCAACACTTGGAGGAAAAGGCGTGCTCAAAGCCTCATCCCAATTTGGAGTCACTCAAGACATCCTTGATTAAGGCAGCCGCCGATATTGACATGGACCTCGTTCGTGCTGCGATAGACGGCTGGCCGCGCAGATTGAAGGCCTGTATTCAAAATCACGGAGGTCATTTTTAATAAACTTTAAAGAATCTGTTTTGTTAAATTCATTTTGGTATATAAATGGTTACATAATGAATAAACTTGTTTCAATTATTTTATATTAAACATGTGACAGAATTTAGGACCTGACTAATGCCGCCAATGTAACGAAGATCATACGATACTTCACGAAGCGTATTGTGTAAAGCAAAATCGCGACTCAGCAGCAGGTAATTCGCGCGGCGACGCGACCTCGAAACCGAGCCGAAGTCACCACGACAGCAACACACACGTGGCCCAGGCTGATGAAATGCCAGAAACGTTATTATCGACAGCAATTATCAAAGTGCAAGAGAAAGATGGCACTTATCAAACATTCCGCGCTCTTATCGATCAGGGATCGCAAGTGTCATTAATCTCTGAGAACACGGAGCAATTATTAGGGTTACCACGTAATAGATGCAAGGGTTTAATAACAGGCATTGGTGCCAAGGATAGCAGCTGTAAGGGGATGGTTAACGTAAACTGTTGTTCGATGGATGAAAGTTATTCATTTCACACTTATGTTTTTAACATGAAAAGTCTAACAAAAAATCTTCCTAGTTACACATTCCGACAACCCGATTGGTCATATTTAAATAACATTGAATTAGCAGATCCACAGTTTTATATTAGCCGTGAAATAGATATTTTATTAGAAGCCGACATTTATTCGCAAATTATTCTAGAAGGGATTATTCTATTAGATTAAACAAAATCTGCCAATTGCGCAACAAACGCGCCTTGGTTGGATATTATGCGGAAATATGAATAACTATCATTGTAACGTAGTTCAAATCGATACGGATGAGTTCAAACAATTTTGGGAGATAGAAGATATACCTAAATCTGGTAATTACTACTTGCGGAAAATACAAAGTTCGGCTGCCTTTATTATCAGACGCAAAGGAACGATTAGGGGAGTCAAAATCAAGAGCAATTGCACAATTCAAAAATTTAGAAAAACGATTTAAATATCGGGATCACATTGAAAAACAATACAAAATATATATAAATGCTTTTAGAGAATTAGGTCATATGCGTTCGTCATCAAGCAATATTGCTCGCGGAATCATCAACTACAGCGCTTCGCGTTGTTTTTAATGCCTCCTCGCCAACGACAAGCGGACAAAGTTTAAATGATTTTATGTACCGAGGTCCAAATCGTCATCAAGATCTTTTATCACTTATTATCAGATGGCGTCAATATCAATACGCCTACACTGCGGACATAGAGAATATGTTTCGCCGGATTGTGTTGCACGAGGAAGATCAAACATACCAATAAATCATTTGGAAAGACACGCCTGCAGATAGGTTACAGAAATATCAGCTATCTACTGTAACTTATGACACGAAAGCTGCTCCCTTTCTTGCCATGATGGTACTCAAAAAGTTAACAAAACCAGTTTTACATGGATGACCTTTCAGGAAGCCATGATTTATCGTCAGCAAAACAGTTGCAAACAGATTTAATTAGTTTACTAAAGTCGGAGGCTTTATCCTTAGAAAATGATCAGCAAATACACCAGTACTTCTAGAAGGTGTTAGTGCCGCATTTAGCAATAGTCAATCTTATGACTTTAAATATGAAGGTTCAACAAAAACGTTAGGCCTGCGTTTGCATCCTCAATCTGACAACTTTACCTTTGATTGCAAATTGAGCACAATTACATCAAAATTAACAAAACGTAATTTAGTGTCAGATATATCCAAACTGTTCGACCCTTTAGGATGGCTTGCGTCCGTTGTAACTAAACTCAAGCTCCTATTTCAAAAGGTTTGGGTACAAAACATAACTTGGAATAGCAAACTTCCGGATCGCTCTTGACATAAGGGAAGAATGGATAAAAATATTACACAAATTCGGATTCCAAGATGGCTTCAAACCAACAAGGATGACGTCATCCAGTTACATGGGTTTTGTGATGCATCCACCCAGGCATACGCTTGTGTGATATATTGTCTAATCAGCAAAAACCAACATAAACACAAAAACCTAAAAATAATTCAGTGGTATTAGTTGCAGCAAAATTAAGACTAGTACCAAAAAGCAAGAAGATTTCACTACCTAGATTAGAGTTATATGGTGCGGTTTTACTTTCAAAATTAATGGTCGTTGTAAAAACCTGTCTCCAAGTATTCAACATAGAATCATTCGGGTGGACCGATTCAACAGCAGTGTTGAGTTGGTTGCAAGGGGAGCCAGGTCAGTGGAAGACGTTTGTGGCCAACCGCGTACAGCAAGTAACCAAGGTCATACCTCCGGAACAATGGAGTTATGTCAAATCTATTAAAAACCCGGCAGATTGCGTCAGCCGTGGTGTATCAGTAACACATCATTGTGGTGGCAAGGACCGACGTGGATTCAATCATTCAAAAGGGAAGAATGTAACAATCATTCTATTTATTCAACAATTGAAGATGTCAAAAGATCGCATCAAGTTTCTACTATTACACAAAATGAAGCAAATAATCAGCACATAATAAATCAAATATTAAATAACTACAGTTCGTTTAGTAAAATAACAAAAATCTTTGCTTGGTCTTATCGTTTTCTATCAAATATAAGCAAGCATAATATTACACGAGAAAGCTACTTAAGCATAGAGGAATTAAGAAAAGCAAAATTAAGCATCATCAAGCACACACAACAAACAGAGTTTGGCGAAGATATAAATTATTTACAAAAGCAAAGCAAGCTACATGCAAAGAGCAAACTATTATCTTTAAATCCATTTTTGGATGATAAAGGAATTTCACGCGTAGGAGGAAGGTTAAAACCTGCTAAGATCAACGATGACTTATTCTGTTACAATAGGAAACTTCATGTACACAGAAACAAAAGACTTACCAAATTAATTATAAAAGAAGCACATGAAAATACTTACCATGGTGGGGCTCGATTGACCTTGAGCTTTATAAGGAAGAAATACTGCAAGGCCAGCTGCAGCTGGCGAAGCTACCCCCTGGTCGATGGCTGATGGGAAGGGTTACAGATGTCTATCCTGGAAGTGATGGCTATGTGAAAGTAGTGCAGATGAAAACTAAAAATGGCATTCTAAAACGTCCGATAACAAAACTATCAAGATTACTGATAGATGTTGAAAGCAGCAGCAAAAAACCTGTAACATCAAATCAACAAAATGAGCAAACGCGCAGGGAATTAATCAAATCCCCGCCACAAACATAAACATAAATGAAAAATCGCGTCAAACAAGACACAAAACGCTGTGTGATGATTTAATTTTATTACTATGACAGTTTCTATCTTATTTTTTTCAAGCTCTGAAGGCACCATAAGAACAAGACAGTTTAGGCAAGATCAAGGAATATATTTTGATAAGGTATGTGACATGCAATTGATAAGAGACGAATGGAAAATCATTATTTACTATGAAATGGATCCTTATTGGAATGGTATTACAGTACTGAATAAGTATACAAACAACTTAGAACAAACATTCAAAACATCGAAGTTCCTCGAACGAATCCTGGCGAGACGTATCATCGAGGAGGGGGGTTGCCTGCTTTGCCGACGACACGTTGGTCGCGGCGAAGGC